CAAGAGAGGGAGACCTTCAATGAGATGGATCGATTCAGTGATTGGGATAATGGGAGTAGGAGAGTCAGAAACAGTGAGGTTGTCACAGGACAGAGCAGGGTTTAAGGCTCTTGTACATAGGATCACTATGAGTCGCAAGTGACTCGACAGCATATAACAAGAACTAAGCTGAACTTACACCAGCATGATCAGAACCTAACTCCACTCTCTCAGTTAGGTTCTCTAGATATAAACCCCAAGCAGACCTCACCTTTTCTTATCTCAGAGGTTCAGTCTGACAGGCCCATAGCCAAAACTCCAGACTCACATCCATCAGAAAGCTTCTCACCACTTCCCATTAACACCTGGATTTAGAAACTTATTGTGGGTTCGTTATTATTACTTTGAATCCACTCTCCCCACAAGTTGGTATATTCCTTTGTTCTGAGCTTTTCCTGAACTAGGAAAAGAAAGGAAATAATTGAAGCTGTGAAGGCCTTGTGTTCTACTTCGAGGTGTGGTAGGAACCTCATGCTGGCTATATTGCATGGCTACTTCTGTGGAGTCTTTAGTAACTTCTCGTCATTGGATGCTTCCATGATGTGGGTGCTAGCCCCTCCTCAAGTTCCAGCTGGCCCTGCAGCAGTTGTTTTGACTGAGGAGTCCTTGTCCATTAAAAAAACAAAAACAAAACAACAAAAAAAAATCTTGCATGGCTCTATCCACAGGCTATCTAATTTTCCTAATTAGGTATCTAACATATATGATTTAGGGGGTTTATTGTGGTAAACATAACTACAGCTGGCATTTAAGTACTCTTCACATATACAATTCTACTAATTATATTTATCATGTTGTGCAATAATGACTCTTATCCATTTCCAAATTATAACATCACCCTGAGCAGAAAGTGTGGTGTCCACTAAGCCTCACACCCTCCCTTTTTCTCCTTTGCTTCCATATTTGGTGGAATCTCTCTACATTTGCCTGTTATTGTTGATTGCCATCTAGTCAAGCAAGACTCATAGCAACCCTGTGAGCAATAGGCCTGAAGCCTTTCTGTTGTTGTTATGTGCCGTCGAGTCGTTTTTGACTCATAGCGACCCTATGCACAACAGCCCTAA